TTCCTACACAAAGCCTGTTATCACACACAGTGGCTAGAGTGTCGATAGCTCACGCCTGTGGAAATTGACCCATTGAAATCTACATGACAAAAGCTGGTGATAACCACTGGTTTCACACAAGGGATGCAGGAGGGAACAAAGCAACACAAGCTATGTGACACAGTTTCAATGTCTATCGATGATCTGATATTAGAAGAAGTTTCTCTTGCCCATTACACCCTAAACTTAAAGGATTAGCTATTTAATATTCTGATAGTCACCCAGTGTCAAGAAATAAATCTGAAATATTTATATTTTAAATCATAGTAACCCATGCTCTGATTTAAACAGAAACTGCCGTTGTCCATACACAGAAGTAGTGCAGCTATTTTAAGATAACCACTCGAGTCAAAACCTAATTCTTAAATAATTAAAAAAATAATTTTATGCTTTGATTAAACAAATTGTGTTTTTCCATATACACATTTGAGTTGGAAGAAAATAGTATATTTACTAATGGTAATCATTAAAGTGTTAAAAACAAATTTTTTAATTTTAATCAAGTTTATGAAAATACCACAAATATTAAACAAAATCAATGCTATCAGAAGTCATGTATAACATTGCTCAACTGTAGCTACTCATGAAACAAGGCCAACAACAAACCAATCCTTCAATTATATTCACACCCTATCCGAGTTACCGAAATCTAAAAAGATTTTACATCATGGGGATTGATGCAAAAAACTCTTTGAAATATTTAATCATTGGTTTCAAATTCTAAAATAAACTCATTACTCATGTTATTCTTCTGTTGTTTTATCTAAAGGCTTGCTGTTCCACTTTTTGAGCAGATTTCTCCAAACATGCTGAACAAAGGCAATATAATATTTTATTGGATCCGCTGTCAATATGACCCTTTTCAATGCAGGGTGTCAATCGCATAATCAATAATGCATTAAACTAGTTGAAACATGATATTCAATTCTACAGTGATTAAATATTTGCTAGCATTTACGCAGAAGCAGATTCTTTCAAAGAGTTATAATGGAAACATTTTTCCCCAAGCTGTATTTTTCTCTCAAGCTGAATGTTTTTGTTAAATAGAAATTAATTTTCTACTTTAAAAAGCCTTTACACATGCATGAGAGGAAAGATACAGTGTGTCGGGATATATTGTTAGATGCGGTGACTAAATTGTCATCCATATGTTCAGTGGTAGAAATTAACTGTTACATTTACAAGCACGATGTTTCACACACACCCCAATGACATGACAGCTGTTTAAATCAGGTGGCTTTAATCAACATGGTAATGTGTTTCTTATGGGCAGAAACAAATTGGTCTCCAAAACATGACTTGTCAACATGTCCCAAAATGATATGCACAGATGCATGAGCAGAGGCAGTTATCTCGGATTCCAAACTAAGTGCCCTTTGCAGGCAATTAGAAACAATTGGTATTTTGTTCAAAATGGGGATTTTCTTAAAGTTCTTCTATTCTAAATAGTTAAATTCAGAGCATGTTTACACTGTATTTGAACATTGTATTCAAAGTAATAATGTAAAAATAACCAGAACAGCAAAGTCCTCCTTTTTGGTCCAGCTTTCAGTGAAATACAAGTTACCTCTGCAAAGTCACAACACCGGTCATAATTATATAAACATGAATTGGGAATTTCTTAATTCCAACTTTTGAAACATTTGCTGCAGAATTGGGGCCAAGTTTCAACCTCTGATCAGGTCAACATAAATCCATGAGAACATAACTGTTCATAAGTGCCAGAGTTCCTCACAAGGGACATCAGGAATGTCATGTACCGTATTTGACGTAATAAGCGCCCAGGGCACTCTCAAAATTAGAAATAGGGGGCTCTTATCAGAATATTATTTTGTAGAAAAAAAAAGAGTTGAAAGATAAATTTTGTGTTTTATGCTGACAGCCTGAAATGTTTATATACGAGAGATATATTTCTCCAGAATTTAATTGCCAATAATTAAGGGTGCATACAACACATGAGTGCGTATTATACGCGAATAAATAAGTCTTGTGTACATTGATCAATTGGAAAGGGAGCTAATTGGGATTGTTCGTGAGCTAATATATTAGCAAATATCGCCGTGGGCGCTTATTAGAGCAGGGCACTTATTTCTTCGAAATACGGTATATGTACTCCACAATAAACATTTGATGACGACATCCTTTTGGGAGAGAAACGCTATAGTTGTTCAAGAGTTATGTCCCTTCACCAACCAACAGCCAACTGCCTGTGAAGGATGTGTACAAAACATATCTTACATTCCTTTTTTCCTTTTTTAAAGATGCCCTGCCTCTTAACCTTTTCATGAACCCTCCATTTACTCCTATGTGTAACATCTACACACCAGTCTGTGTGAACAGTGAACAGAACATCTAACCAGTTTACTGCCGGTAGACAGAATACCAGTTTACTCCTTTATCACAGCTGCCAAGAATTTCAGATTGGTCTGTATTTTAGGCCACTAAAAATAATTATTTTCCCAAATGTTCTATTTTTTCCAAATTGGTATTAACACAAAATAATGTCCTGCTAAAAATGTACAAAAATCATACAAGAGTTGTAATTTAAGATAAATGCCTTTTGTCACACACAAGAAAACCAATGAATGAATTAAGTCATCTAGTTCAAAAACATATCAGCGTAACTGATGTCTAACAGTTCATTGCTAACTTTAGATAACAGTATGTTTAGCAATTCTGTTACTTAAAACTGACATAACAGAAAATCAGAATTTGCTGAGAAGGCCCAGGCGTAAAAAGGATGAGCTCTGTGGTCAAGGGGAAATAACTCTTGCAACCTTATCTGTTCTCTTTGTAAGCTCTGCATGAGTCTCAAATAAGAATTCATGATTAGCACAGAACCGATTTACCATATTAATACAGTGTTCCCGCTGGCTTTGGAAAAATTTGAACTCTAAAAATTATCAGTCCCCGCTAATCTTTGTCAGTCCCAGCTTTCAACAAATAAAAAAACGTATGAAAATTACCGGGTTTTAATTCCTTCAACATCATGTTTAATACAATGATGTTATCTCTGAAGATCTTAGTTAGATCTACATGTCATTCATACAAAGTCCAGTCACGATTTGCTCTTTTTAAAAATATTTCGAGATTAAGTCGCTAAAAATAAAGTTAACCTCGAAGCAAGGCAAAATGTTATTTCCTTGCACTAAAATTGACAAGGGGAAACAAACCGACTTTGTTCCAAAAATATACTAATATGAATATCACCGATGTTTTGTTCAACAACAAAGATTTATAAGGTACTTTATTTGCCGGTCCACAGGAACTGGCAGTCACATGAATTACCGGTCCATGCCTAATCATACCGGTAAAAAACTGGAAATTACCGGTAAAAAACTGGAAATTACCGGTAAAAGGGAACACTGTTAATATCACTTGTATCATAAGTATCATACTTGATGACTCTTCATACCTGTTCATGTTTGGATATTATTTAATGATAAATTGAAATGACCACTGTCTACACCTCTTCACAGACTGACACAGTGCTTAGAAATGTGTGATGTCATCTTTTGCTTGAGGAGGTTCTTATACTTGTATAATGATCTCTGTTGATCTTTATTGCCTGGTTCAGCTATGCTCAACGAAGTCCACATAACCGCTGATGGCTTTTTTATAATCTTTAAAACATTGTGTGCCATTACATCTATAAAATGATGTCATAAAAATATTTATTGTCTTTTAATTATTTTAATAGCTTGGCACCCCTTGTTATTATGAAACATTGTTGCGTTTGCAAATTTCACGAAGTGTTGTTCGAGTCCATTTCTGTATATCAGGACAAAGCAACCAATATTTGCTTTTGCTTGATATTTGACATGTTTTCTCAATTATTCTGATAGTTATTTGTCTGTTTCTGAGTTGAAAGTTGCAACTAATACAGCATTTGGCGCACCACACATTAAACACATCACTGAAAATGAATATTTGTAAACTAATAATTTATAGCTTTATGTGCGTAAACAATGCAATGGCTCTGAAACTATTAATCTGTGCAAACACATCATTAAATTTATGATGAACCATTTCAGGCTAGTAAACTAAAGCCTGGGCTAGTTCGGGCAAAAGACTTTGGCAAAGACTGTAGATGACTATAAACATTTCCTTCTTCCAGGTTTCTGTTTCATAAAACATCATATCAGCCTAAAACCACAGTTAAGTCAAAATTGTAAAAACCGATGTAAGGTAATTATGGCGAAATAACGATTTCAAAAAAGTCTTCGTAGTGCTGGTTGCATGACAAGAAAATTAAAGAAAATAATTTAAGCATGCATGGATATAAACAAAAAAATTCATCTGGAAAGTAAAAATACATATTATTTGAAACAACAAACAAAATAAAATCATGGAAAATGTAAGAGTACAATAAAAACATTCTAAATGAAATTTTTAATATATATTAAGAAAATATATATTTCGAAAATGCCTCATACTTGTCACAAGGCCTTAAAAATCAAAAGCCTTAAACTTTAAACATGCTACTGAAAAACATGTTAAATAATTAAACATTGAGGGGTCACAGTGTAGAAATACCATAGCAGAAACATCAAGTACCTCCACTGCTGGACTAGGTATTTCATATTTATGGACTGAAGTTATTAGAATTAATTTTTTTACCTACCAACCTCAACTATGTCAAAAATCTGCGAGTGAGCGAGTGAGTTTATGGTTTACGTCACATCGGCAATATTTCAGCCAAATCGTGACGATAAAAAATCTGTAACCCCCCAATAAAAGAAAAAAGGCGGGCCTCATGTTCTAACTGCTCTGTAGTCAGCAGTATAAGAAATTGGAGGGAAGGGGATTGTGTCCCTGAAGTTTGCTGCCATATATTATCTGAATCTGGGCACCCCCAAATCTTTCACTCTTGACATTAGGGTTATAACATTGACACTTCACCATCTCATCAACACAGAATCAAACACAAAATCGTGACTGATAATAAATGCTGAACCTACGTTTGGTTGACATAGATGTGGTCCTCCGGGGAAACAAACTCTACTTCTCCAATCGCTTCATCAAGGTCATCTGTACTGTCACTTCGTCGGTCCCAGTCCGGGGTCGGCAGATGCTGCTCAACTGATGACGATACAGTAGAAGTAGTTGACTGGACAATAGTCTCTACATTCTCTGCCATAAAATCCTCAGGTGATTTAGGCTTTGGTGCCGGTGGAGGTGGAATAATAGGCCTCTTTGAGTTCAGGGTAGCATTTGGGGGCTTGTCAGGGGGTGGAGGAGCTGACCGTCTTGGAATGGGGGTGGGCCGAGAGGATGAGGATATTGATGAGGAGGATCTGGTGAGCTCAGGCTCACTGTCATTTAGAGATGATCCTGAATTGGACAGATGTACAAAAGCATTACTAATAACAGCTTCAGGCACAGAACTAGAGCTACCATCACCTGTATTTTCATCAGGTGATGAAGTCCGGTCTCTACTACTGTCCTCGTTTAAAGATGATGAACGGACTCGAACCTCACGAACATCTTCTTGTTGTTTATCAACATCCCACGATTGCCTCTTCCCACGTGAAAAGTCATCCCGTCTTTGATTTAGATCCCATGATCTTCTTTTCCCCGATGGTTCATCATCTCGGTTTTGGAGATAGGAGTCGGCCTTTTCTATGGCTTTCTGAATATCTTCTTTACTTAGCCGATTACTTTTTGACACACTGTCCTCTTTCTTGGCCCGCATCATGACCGCAGGAGCTTCTGAATCATTTTGTTCATTAGCACTGGAATGTGAATTTGAAAGACTTGAGTCCTGTTTGTATGATTCTGCCTTACAGGATGACTGTGCAGCATTATCAGAAACATCACTGCCATGTTTAGATCTGAAGTGGGAACGACTTGGTCGAGTCCAACCAGTGACACTTGTTCTTTCGGGATCGCTGTTGGAGCGATCTTTACGTTCCTCTCTGTCTTCTAGCCAGCTTTTCTTCTTGTCATTCTCTCCATTGAGCTGAGACGTTCTGTCTCTATCTGGAATGTTTGCATTGTCCCTGGTTTCATATCTCTTGAGCCATAAAGCACCGCGCGTTGACGATGAATACGATGGTGGAGGTTTATGATACGACTGTGACACTGTGGAAGACACTTGTGCATCTGTGATGTCAGGCTGAAAACTAGGGCCTGAATTCGAACTCCCATGAATTGATGATAAGCTATCACTGTCTCTGAGGGAATCACCTTTTAACATTTCTAAGGAACCACACAATTTTTGTTTGCTTATACTGTTGTCCAAGTTAAGGATCTTTGAATCAAGTTCAGTGGTACTTGATGATGATGATGAAGTTCGACCTATTGGGTCGTAATCGAACGACTTTCTCGGTTCTGGGCTGAGAGGTTTGTGTCGTTCTGGGCTCATGGTTTTGTGTCTTTCTGGGCTAGATGGCGATGTACTGACAGGTGACAGAGCAGGTGGTGTGTGAGAACGGCCAAGACGATTCGGTGACGGTCGTCGAATCCGAATATTACGTTCACGTTCTTGTGCAATTTTATTTTCCTGCTCCATACGAGCAAACATATTTCTTGTGTAGTTAAATCGCTGTACATGATTGGTTGCTTCTAGGAGGTTATCTGAGGGAGATATTTCTGCAGATTTTGAGGTTGGCGATATAACATCCGATACCCGCTTTCGTTTGATCTCGGGTGATTTATCCAAATCGGCAATAGGCGTAGGTTTGGTGTCCCGCTGCCAAGAGTTGCTCGTTGACGACGGAGCACTGTGAGGCTTTGTCAGTTTGATCTCAGGTTTTGAAGATGCTTTGTCCCCTGACATACTAGCTTGAAACATTTCTTTCATCTTGCTGACTTTGGAACGAAATCCACGTAATTGGTGACCACCTTCCTCAAATTCAATTTTTGATAGATCTTCTGGAGGCTGATTTTCAATATTTTCACATTTCAAACTCCCACTTCTTGTACGACTCGCCTCCAAAACGTCCTTCCTGTCTGATGACGACGTGACAGCACCTGTAGCGGCCATGTTTAATCACATAATGCTGATGACATCATTTCAAAGGAATGACGGTAATACTAAACTAGTGATTTCCTAACAAGTGTTCAAGTGGACAGAAACATTAAAACACAATGATTGGGTGCCATTTGATAACAATTGCTTCAGTGTAAAAGGTCCATTCCATACAACTTTACATAGTGGGGTATTCACAGACACAGTGTGGAGGTTCCAATCACTCGCAGGCAAGGTCACATGGTGGAGTTGAGCATGTCAGTTGATTGTCTTTCTCGGAGGTGGTTATCGGTTTTCTCAGAGGAGTGGACACTGATGTACTGCCCCATCATGTCAGAGCGGCCATAGACGAGTCAGTGTCAGACTTTCTTGTAGGGGCCTGCAACAAACAAAACTTTGTAAGTTTTTGCAATAATGTAAAAGTGAGTGAGTGAGTGGGGTTTTACGCTGCTTTTAGCAATATTCCAGCAATATCACGGCGGGGGACACCAGAAATGGGCTTCACACATTGTACCCATGTCGGGAATCGAACCCGGGTCTTCGGCGTGACAAGCAAACGCTTTAACCACTAGGCTACCCGAATGCCCCAATAATGTAAATAAGTTCTAATGAGTGAGCGAGTGAATATAGTTTTACAGCCCTTTTAGCAATATCTGAGCCATATCCCAGCCATATCACCCGAAATGGGCTTCACAGACTGTTCCCACGTGGGGAATCAAACCCGGGTCTTCGGTTTGAAAGGCTGACGCTTTAACCATTAATCTTCCCCGAGAACGGAATTACGATTGCCTGAAGGAACAAGGCTAGTGGAAATTACCTCAGGCTAAGAAAATAATAATTCTACTAGTCCGTAAGCTTTAAGTTTCTTGACATACTGTAAATTATCTATCATCCTTTCAATTCCTCACTAGATATTTTGCACATTTCAAACCTTTCTTGTAATGAATATTGTACTTAATTTCACTAAGTCCATATATTCTGACTGTTTCTTAATACTTTTATGTCTTTATGGTACATTAGAGATTGTTATTTTGCAAGTTTTCTTATTTTATAAGGATTAGTAAACTTTTGCAGGTGAGCAGAAAAAATAATTCCAGTAGCCCTGTGGGGTTGTTTGGTTTTTTAGTTACTTTCAATCCCTGCTACTCCACTGCCCAATAAGGGTTAATAAAGGCAGACAATTTCACATTAGCTTGATTAATATATACTTCAGCTACCATAATGTTCCATGCAAATGCATTGCTGGGAACACATAAAATAACAACAGAGCCGATCTCATTTCCTCATGATATTTTGTTCTAGTTCCATATGTTTTACAACAGTCTATTTCCATGTGACTGCAAGAATGACCCTCATTCTACACACAACAAAAACAGCCTTGTAACTATTTCATAGATTTTGACAACACCAAAAAATGTCAGATTGTAATATCGATTTGATATGATTAGGCAATGATGTTGGTCATTACCAGTTTATTATATTATTGAGCAAATTATATCAACATCATGTGAACAAATGGTGAAAAAGCATTGTCAAAACCAGAGAATAATCAGTCTTGATTATCTGTGGAATCAGATTCCATGGCAAAGTAGTGGTGAAATGATATAAATGGATCACAGAAAATCAGTGATGACACCAGGTGTTTGCGAAAAGGGTAACCATGTCTGGATCGTAAATCACTAACCCCCCCCCCCCTCAAAAAAATAAATCTAAGAATATTCATAAAAGCCAGAAAATTTATAAGACCAGATTGTAAACACTGAATATTTCGACTAACAGTAATGATTACAGGCAACTCAAAAGTCCTGCAAAAGACAAAGAGTAAAATACTCTATGAACCCAAAGAAGTCCAAACACATCAACTAATAAATCTCAATTAAACATGAACAGGAGCATTGAAACAGTTACCTACCATTTAAAAAAACAGACTTTATCTAACAGTGTAAGGGTAAATATCCTCATGAAAGCTTCTGATTTTTTAGCCAACTTCCCTGTCAACTATATTGATAGCAAGAGGAGCCAGGTCAACATCTACTGATGATAACGACATGATAGGAACATTGCAGTTCTTATAATTAGAAAGGAAATAGGATAAGACCACTCATCTCGTCACGATCCAGATGTCGTGGACACATGAATATCATATGTGTCATAATTTAACCGCTGATGAACTTTGAAATCCCATACTTGACACATGTCTGTTAGATCTATACAGAAGCACGAGATTCCATATTTGGACTGCACTGCTGATGGCTTGTCAAGTTCCATCATGAATGAGTGAGTGAGTTGGGTTTAACGCCGCTTTTAACAGTATTCTAGTTATATCATGGTGTGTCAGCTTAATGTGGAAGGAGGCCTGTGATGCAGGTCTTAGATGTTTACCAAGTATTCCACCCATGCAATGGATAGTGAGTGAGTGAGTATGGTTTTACGCCGCTTTTAGCAATATTCCAGCAATATCACGGCGGGGGTCACAAGAAATGGGCTTCACACATTGTACCCATGTCGGGAATCGAACCCGGGTCTTCGGCGTGACGAGCGAACGCTTTTTACCACTAGGCTACCCGACTGCCCCTGCAATGGATAGTAGGTAGTCCAGTCTGGACATGCTGGACTGTTTGTTTGTTTGTTGTTTAACACCATAATCAGCAATATCCCATCAATATGACGACAGCCTGAAAATAATCGAGTCTGGACTAGACAATCCAGTGACTGACATCATAAGCACTGATCCATGCTATTGGGATACAAAGTCATGCAATCACCTCCAAGGACAAGCACAGGTTGCTGGGATCCTACATTCTGACTAAGGTCATGTAGATCGGTAAGCCAATGGCTGATAGCCCGAGTAAAGGATACAATCTCAACCATCTGATAAACCACAAGTTAACTCTGACAACAAAGATAACGTGCTAGACAACTATTCTGCTCCTGAACATATTAATAAATTAAACACAAACTCAACATGAAATATTGAACATAGCATTTGATTCTGACACAAGCAGATTGCTGTCACTAATAGTCATTGTCAATTGAATCAATTGAAAGATGTGTGTAGGGCGATAACTCTGATACTCCATTCACATCACCTGTGCTCTACTAACATTATGTTTCTAAAAGAAAACAATTTTGTGAAGACTTTTAAACTAGAATTATATGGAGGCATAGAATGTCTCTTTATTTTTAGAGCAGAAAACATTCCGACTTCGTACTGTTGACCTGCGTAGGTGTCATCAGATGTTTTTGTTTCAAGGTTTAAGTAGAGGCAACACCTGAGCTTAGAAGTAAGGTGATGAAGAGTGAGGTAAACTTTCCCGTCACATCAGCAATACATGGCAATCCTAATGGCAGTGGACTCTTCCTAAATGACACCTGATCATTGTATCGCATACCACACATGAATGCTGTGGCATATGACACTGACGTTATGCAAACAGACATATACCTGATTCATGTTAAAAATAAGCAAGCAATCATCAATTCACATGGACATCTTAACGAATATAATACCCAAGGAGTTCAATTAATATTAATGCATGATAAGAACATTAATTGATATGAATAAGTAAAGCTATCATCTACACCAAAATGAAATTGTACAGATTGTTTAAAATTGGGACTTAGATTTTCTTACTTGTTAAAAATTGCAACCACCGAAACATAACTTGATCCTATATCCTAGTTTCTGTCCACAATACTTCAAGGGTTGATCAACTACATCTGTCAAGCATCCTTCCATGAATATTAACATGATTAAAGTCCATCACAAAAGCTCATATCAGCGGAAGGACAAATTCACTTCATGCCACCTGACCTCTAACCTCCCTGTACATTCCCAGCATTCCAGTGACACCTGCCAATGCATGTTCATATTTCATTCCCACCCCACACACTTCCAGGTATGTCAACGTACTGTACGCAGGTGTAATCACATAGCTGTGGCTAGGGTGGGTTCAGGGAGAGTGAGTTCAGGGTGTGTGGGTTCATGGGGGTGGGTGCAGATTGGGGGGGCGGGTGCAGATTGTGTGGGTGTGAGTGCAGGGCTGGGTGGGACCGGGAGGGGTGAGTTCAGGGTGTGTGGGTTCATGGGGGGTGAGTTCAGGGGGTGTGGGTGCACCAAATCAGCAATAGCCATCAGCCTGTAAACAGTCTAATCGTGGCCACAAGTGGTTGATAGCATGAGAAACAATCCATGTTATTGGAGAGCAACGACCAGTGTCATAATAACTGCCTTCCCACTTTTGTGGATGGTGACATTTCTGTCTGGATAGGTGAAATTCTACCTGCCCGACTGTCAGTTAAAAATTCCATTGCTCCACTGACACTAACAAGTTTGAATCAGACACTGGCAGTGACTCAATTACTTGAGAGAAAGCACTACCTTTGAGATTATAAAGCTGTAAATGTTAAATCACAGAGTAAGGAATATCTGAGAAAAATTATAATGATTATCTACTCTGGCATGTCATTACAAATGGGGCCTGTAACTTTCAAGCCGACTAGTTACATTTATTATATGAGTCACCAACCCGCCTGGTTTGTAGGCAGTAAAATTATTTCAGACACTGGCAATGACCCTTCATTTGCCAGGTTAAACGTTAATTGTAACCACCAGATCCTCATCAGCATGAGGCCTCGGGATGTATTCTGACATGGAATCTTCAAGGGGAAGTTGGGCAAGGAACAAATATTGACAACATACCACGCTTTCTCAGTCTACTGGTGTACAAATAAGCAACATAAAAATATCAACTTATTTACATCACAGAAAGGAAATGAATGAATCAACCAGATTTATCAATATTGACCGAAACTAACAAATGAATCATATTATATTATTAATAAGTTATTACGAAGATGTTACTTGTATATTAGCAGTGATATGAACTTCCATATCACCAGCCATCATCACATGCCATATTAATGAATAAGTAACAGTTGACAGTCATTGCCCCAAGGACCTTTGCAGTAAAACATTTCCTGCTTTCACACACTGATCATGCTGATGTGGGGTACAAATAAACTTTGTCATGCAAATGGAGAGAGGTTGATTCAGTTGTGTCATAAGTTATGTTTATCAATATTCCTGCAATGACACTGCAGTGGAGATGTCAACTGTTTCACACACTGAGTCCATCTTGGGATCTGAACCCAGGTCGTGATCAGCTCCAGCTTACCTACTGGCTACCCTATCAACCCTACTGTTAAGGAGGTTTGATTTATTGTGTAGACCAGATTTCATTTTAAATTCAACCCGTGAAGATCCAGGTTAAAATTGGTCTTCAGCAACCCATGCTTGTTGAGGCGACTAACGGGATCGGGGTCAGACTCGCTGACTTGGTTGATGCATGTCATCCTATCCCAGTTGTGTAGATCAAT